CCAAAACTGGAAACAAAGTGAATGTTCATCAGCAGGAAAATGGCGACGTCGGTCACAACAGATCTACATCACGGAATGTTGTCGGCCTTTTAAAGAAAGTGATTTACAGCCATACCAGCTCCCTTGGGGCGATATCTGTTAGGCACTAATGAGAAGAATGCATAGAGATAAAAGGACATACAATCTACCTGAAACCTGCTTTATTTTTACTTATAGCCTTAATCACTATCCAACATTAATTGTATTATGTTTAATAGCTATCTCACTCCCACTGGGATATGAACTCCATGTGGGCAGGGACTTTGTTTACTGCAGTATCCCCAGGGCTTGACACATAGCAGGTATTCAAACAAAGTGTTGATAGGCTAAATGAATACGATGCCATTTTTATAAAAGAATGACCCCAAAACACTCTTTATGCCCTCTCATCCATATGCAAGAAGACACTTTTATTTATATAAAGTTAAACACACATATACACACACATCTCTGCGTGCACATATATAAATATAAATATATATAATATGCAAGTATATATATATATAATCACATCAATATTACTGCAGGGGATGCAAGGGAAAAAGTGTTCAGTGTGTTGAGAACTTGGTTTCTGAGCCTGTCTGCCTGGTTTCAATGCACAGTTCTCCACTTACTAGCTCGGTGTTACCAGCAAGTTACTTCACCGTTTTGTGCCTCAGTTTCTCAATAATTAGGCAGAGAAAACAGTACATATTTCACAAGTGTGTTGTGAAGATTAAATGTGTTGGAAGAGGGCCTGGAACAAAGCACGTGCTATAGGAGTTTTTACTATTATGTTTTAAGTAATAAAAAAATTGCAAAGCAATGCAAATAATATTATTAGACACTTCAGGGCAGGCCTTCACAACCGTGCCACTATGAACATTTGGGGCCATAAAATTCTTTCTTGTGGGTGCTGTCCTGTGCACCGTGGGATGTCTAGCAGCATCTCTAGCCTCTTCCCACTAGACACCAGTAGCCCTCCCATGACTAGCTGTGACACCCAAGTGTCTCCAGACATTGTCAGATGTCCCCTAGGGGGTAAAACCACCCTCAGTTGAGAACCACTGCTTTGGTGGGATGGACACGGGCACAGGAGGGTGTTTAATTTTTTCCTTTACACAGCTTTTAAAAGTTACCCTTGTTAAAAGTAGGTAGTATCTGCAATTTCAAAAACATTGAATAAGACTACAAAAAGGAAAAATGTTAAGGATAATCGCTAAAGAAGACTATAATCAATAGTTTCTAAGTCAGCAGAATAAAAAAATGTAGAAAATTCAATCAGTACAAAAGATGACATGGAAGAGAAATAATCAAACATGTATAATAACAAAAAACATGAGATGGAAGAAATATGTTCAAATGCATCAGTGATCATAATAAACAGAAATGGGTTCAACTCACCTATAAAAGAGAGATACTATCAAATGGGATTAAAAAAACAAAGTCCAGCTATCTGCTGCTTATAAGAAACACCCTAAAACAAAACAACACAGAAAACTTGAAGATAGAGGGATAAAAAAAGACATAATAGTTAAGTATTCACCAAAAGAAAGCTAGTAAAACAATATTATTATAATTCAAAATAGGATTTAAGGCAAAATTCATAAAGAAGATATAACAATAAAGAAATTCAATGCACTGATAATATATAACTCAGCAAAACTGTTACAATTACAAGAAAAAAACTGACAAAACTATAGTTACAGTGGGAGATTTCAGTATCATCTTTCAGAAACTGATAGATCAAGCAGACCCAAAATTA